CCGGGCATCCTGAAACCCGCTAGCATCTAACTAACATCCCAACCCCAGCCCCACGATATCGAAAATAACTTCGCCCGCGCAAAAGACTACATCCGCAAGGCTTCAAACGCTGGCGCCGACCTGGCCGTCCTCCCCGAATTCCACCTAGCAGACTTCCACCCTTCCCACGACCGCAGCATCCGCCAACGCTGCGCAAACTACGATACCCATCTCTCGTCCTACGTCGCCCTCGCAAAGGAATGTGCCATCAACATCGTCCCGGGGTCTATCGCTGAGCTGCGTACTGACCCGGTCACCGGAGAAGAAAAGTTCCTGAACGTAGCTTACTTCATCGACTCCACAGGGGAGGTCCGCGGCCGGTACGAGAAGAGGAACCTCTGGATCCCGGAGCGCGAGTTCATCGACCGCGGCGCGACCGACTCGGGCCATGTCGCGTTCGACACGCCGCTGGGGAAGGTCGGGCTGCTCATTTGTTGGGACTTGGCGTTTCCGGAGGCGTTCCGGGAGTTGGTGATGCAGGGGGCGAAGATGGTGATTGTGCCTGCTTATTGGAAGTTGGACGATGCTGGGGATGTGGGGAAGAGGCGGAACCCCGAGTCGGAGAGGGTGTTTCTTGATGCGGCTGTTGTGAGTCGGGCTTTTGAGAATACTGCCGCGGTTGTGTTTTGTAATGTTGGGGGCAAGAAGGAGGAGGGTTATGCCGGTGCGTCCCAGGTGGCGGTGCCGTTTGTGGGCTGTGCTGGGAGAGTCGAGGGCTGTGATGAGGGGATGAGCATCGTGGAGGTTGATATGGGGGTTTTGGATGAAGCGGAGGGGGTTTATCAGGTCAGGCAGGATCTGGCGAGGGAGGACTGGCATTATGGGTATCGGAGGTGAATTGTTGGTATTAGGGTTGGTTCTCTATTATGAGATAGAGCTGGGGGTGTATATATAGATAGTACATGAAAATGAGACCGGGAGATCGGGTTAGATCCCCGCTGCTCTCCGGAATGCAACGTTCGATATAATCCATCCATCTCCGCTGACTCCATCTCCTGTAAGTGGTTGTCCGTTGCCCTTGGCTAGGTCCGTCATGAACCGTCCGAGGTCCTTCGTCGGCGAGATACCTTTGGAATAGAGCTGTCTTGTGACGGGACCCAAAGTTGCTAAGAGAACTCTTTTGAGAACAGTGTGGTCCGGTCGCTGCATAACATATGCCAGTGTCGGAGGGTCGAACGTTGCGTCTACGATCGCAGGTCTGATGGAGTAGGGCTTCAGACTGGGGTACTTTTTGGATAGGGCGATCAATGCCGATTCGCATTCCCCTTTTATCCGACCAAAGTATGGAGTGAACCTTCCTGGTTCTTGTGTCGCCTGAGTTCAGGTTAGTTGTTTGACAGCCAGCAATCATGCTAACGTGAGACATACTCCTTCTCCAGAAATATATACGAAGTTGAAGGAATCCGATAACCCTGAAAATGCCTTTGCTGCTGCTAATGGGTAGTCGACTGTGATTTTCACATATTCCCTGTTCCATAATATTAGTATCGCTTTACTTTACTAGAGACTGGATTATTGAGGTCTAGTATTAATTGTACTCACTCCTTTGACACTTGTGTCTGAGAAATCCCCAACGCCCAGATACAGCCATCGGCTCCCTTTAATCTCTCTAGTAATTCAGGAGTGTATTCGTTGAAGTTCTTATGCTCGATCACAGTAACATTGGGTCGATTTTCGGCGGCAGGCACAGGTTTCCGGCTCAGGATATACAAGTGCGACACTTCCCCGGGCGGGAGAGAGAGAATATGGTTGAGGGCGGCCGATCCGACTAGGCCGGTGGCACCTGTGAGAATGAGACGCATGTTGTATGTAGAATTATAGAAAGCAATGACTCGCCTTGGCTAAATGAAGAATCCAAAGTAGAGATTCAAAATTCCTCACAACTCCGGCGAGGGGCTGCGATGAATTTAAACATTCAGGCTGACCCCGTAAGCCATCTTAAATCCGGTCGAGGCTGACACGGAGTTAACACGAATCTTCAAGGCTGCCAACTGATGACGACCATTACTATTTTGACTCTCAGATACCTATTTGGAGCTAAAAATAAGGAATCTCCGGGATAAGCTATACTCCGCCTCCACTTCATCATGTTAGAACAGTTAGACATGCTTGGGCAATCGACCGGCCGCCGCCACATTCCCAACATACGCAACTTTAAGTATAATATGCGGCGATCAGCACAGACCACTGAATTCTAATATTCTTGCTTTCTCAATAGTACGATTCGGTGCCCAGTTCTAGTCAAATTTATTGTATTCGCTACACAAGCAACTTAGGCAACGTGGAATTTCGGTTTGTATTTGATAATACACGTCCGAAGGGAAATCCGCAAATATGACTTCAACGGATATGAACGAGCCTGACTGATATTCTGAAACTGCACGGACGGTGTTTGTGCCATAACAGTCTCCGAATAGCGGCCACTGGTGGTTCCAATCGTATATGAGGTGTACGGGGCTCTGGAGGGACCGACCTAGAGTGGATTAACTGCAGTTAACTGTTTAGATACTAAAATACTAACTATTTCTATCTAGAAAGATAGTCCAGAATGGGCAAACTAACCAACAGTAGATGTTATCACATGACAGGTAACTGCAAGGCAGGATCAAATATCGAAACCTTGCCAGGAAGTTTCCTTCCTTCATCCTTCTCGCCATTCTCTTGCTCCACCAGTGGGATGGACAACCTTCCAAACCAGTTATTGGCAGCGATAGAGAATGGTAATGCCAAACGTGTCACGCAGTTATTGGATAAAGGCGCGCCTATAAATTTTGCACTATTTGCCAAAGCAACCCGAGTCGATTCTTGATTATGGCTAGGATATTACCACGGAATCCGCGATTGATAACAAAGTACCTTCAGCACTCATGTATTTTGTTCTAGCCTCTTATATAAATATAATTAATATCTAACATACCCTAGTTATACTTTCGACAACTTAGCCCTCGCGACATGGTTCTTGGAGCACGGTGCTGACCCTAATAAACGGTGCCAGCTGCGAGACGCCACTCTATTGTCTTATGCTGTTTTTGAGGCTCCCTTTACAATTATTGAGCCTTTTTCAGGATCGGCCGAATATGGACAGCTACTGCACTACGCTTCGATACGATATGATCCGGACGGGCCACATATCCTGAAATATCTATACAATAAAAGCCCACGTGTGATGGACAGGGCCAATGATTATCTCGATAAAGGTTATAAGGAATTTCCAATGAACTATAGGCTTGGGCTCTGTACGCCTATCCAGTATGCTGCACGGGCTGGCTCACTGGAGTCTGTGAGATTCTTGGTTAAGCAAGGGGGAGATCCCTGGCGTTTGGATCCCTATAGGCAAACTGCATTGAGCTACGCAGTCCTCTATCAACATGAACCGATAAAGCACTATTTGAATAATCTCAAGACTAAATGTATCGACTTTAAAAGCTTATGATGCCCCAGGGATCCTGTCACAGCATGAATGAGTAAATGCATACAAACGGGCCTGTTTTCGCATCGTGAACAAATGGAATTTTGATCTTGGTGAAGAGCATTTGGTAATATGTAGTATATAGAAACCATAAATAGGCACTACTAGTAGCGGGTCTGTAGAAGAAATGATTTGGTGACTCTGAGGTGAATTTGAGGTAATTCTGAAGTGATTCTGAAGTGAATATGATATATTTGTTGCCTATTGACATAAGCCACCGCACAGTACACAATTCTTTTTCCTACAGTATTTTCTGTTCATACGCCCCCTTCCAGCCGCCCCTCGTTTAATAATACCCACCTTGCCCACATCTTTGCACTCGCATCATGGATGAGGAAATCTGGGATTTCGACTGTACCGGTTCTGTCATGAGATTCGATGACAAGGAACTCAAACTCAACGAGCAGTTAACAGAGGTCCTTGATGATAGAATGGGCCAACGACATGTTCTTGCCTTCGCAGATGACATCAAGACCGAGGAGCGCTATCTGGTGAAGATTCGTTACGAGTTAAACCCGAAATACTTCGACTTCGAAGATCCCGAGGAAGAAGGGAGCTCGCTATAGACCACTTCTCCTGTGAGGTGGATGCTGCACAGCGCCTTAGTGATGCCGGGTATGGACCGAAGTATGTAGCCCACTGGGGGCAGTTTCAAGGTAGTGGATGGCCTTTTTACGGAGGTGCTGTCTTCTTTCTTGTCATGGGTACTGTTCCCGGGGAGGATGTCGATGAGATCCGCGACGAACTGTCGGACAGGCAGCTAGACAACATCAGAAGCCAGCTAGCTCGTATATTAGAGTAAGCTGCCGGTACACCCTTTGTCCTAGTGATGACAGGTGATGTTAACACACAATCCCATAGGCTCATGCGAACAAATGGATACAAGCTATACGAGCAGCATCCCAGTTTTCTACGCTACGACAAGGTGGCAGACAAGTTATATCTAGTTGAACTTACATTTATCGGCTTTACGGATCCAAACAGTGAAACTTCTATCCCAGTGACACAGGACAACGTGTATGTGGAGGCCTTCAACATCTGGCGATACCCTTACGAAGAGCCCCCTCAAGCCCCTCAGTCTCCTCTGTCTACCCAGTCGCTATACCCAGCTCAGTCACAGGACCGCTCCAAGGAAAATGCCCCCCCAGATACACGTTCGCCACGGGAGCCTGAGCAAGCTAGTAGCAGCAAGTTACCTCACCGACCGGCCGGAGACCGAGGTCGAGTTGAGCGGAAACGTCCGCCACGGAACTATGGTGGCAGACGTTGATAGTAGCAGGTTAAACTTCTATGAGGCATAGCACACTATTAATAGTCTATCCAATTCGCTAGTTCTGGGGATGGGATTGCTTTGCTTTCTACCTTTTCCATTTCTGTCCACGATTATACAAGATAAAACTAAACTACACATAAGGTTTTGGGCATACAGTTAACTTCCATGAAAGATTAACAGAGCATGAAAATAATTAGTACTGTAATGGCGAAATTTTTGCTATGACAGGTTTGGCCTACTTCTCCACTATATTTTCGACATCGCGAAGATATACATTGCCTTCTTATACTGTGTAATCAAAAACAACCCTATAATATTATGGACATCGAAAAGTTCAACATACGGCACACAAAATGGAATATTCAACTTTATAGAGCATGCTATTCACTAAGGCTATTATTGTATCACTACTCTTGAGGTATGATGGGTTGATAGATCAGAAGGGCGGGGTGTTTATCGACGTACATACGGAGTACATACCTGGTAAATAGAAACTGCAATTTTATTTACGTGCTAAAGATCGTATATAACTTTCTAACGCAAACTACCTAGCACATACGACCACAGG